GTTGGACAGCGCCACTCATCCTGTGAGTGGACACACCGCCATAGTGACAGTATTGGACAGCGCCACTCATCCTGTGAGTGGACACACAGCCATAGCAGCATGTACAACACTCCCCCAAAAGGAAGAAAACCCGCTGGAGGGTTGTTCATCCTGTGTCACTTGTACCCAGACACAGCTGGGACTTGCTTAACTGTCTCAAGTGAACAGCTCCTCAAACAAGCGTCATGAGTGTGAGGATGTTAAAGCATCTTGTTCATTAGTATGTGGTGGTTGTAAGTGTCTCCCCCCCCCCTCTGTCCAACCACTTGGACTGGACGGTAGAGCGACTGTCTCGCTTCATGCAGGTCGGCGTTCAATCCCTCCGACCGTCCAAGTGGCTGGGTACCAACCCTTCCTCCCGTCCCATCCTAAATCCTTATCCTGACCCCTTCCCAGTGCTATATAGTCGTAATGGCTTGGCGCTTTCTCCCGATAGATCCATTCCATCCATCCATCCATTCCCCCCCCCTCATCCTCCTCCAATGTCTGTTACATGTTTTTCTTCTCTGCAACTTTCTGTTCCATGCTCTCACTTCTCTATACCGTTACGCAGATTAGATTTTCTTTCCTGTTTTACTCACCTTTCTATTCAAAGGGAGCTTATTGATGAGTGGATTCATCCCCCTCCCCTCCTCATGATGAGTCGGTACCCCCCCCCCCCCCGCCCCCTGCCAGGGGTCACTCCCCATAATGGGGACGCCGCCAGGATAACACAATAGTTGCTGTGATCCTCAACATTCCGCGGGTATGAGGTATGCAAGACTGCGAGTGCATTAGCACCTGCACCTCACATACAGATGCACCGGGTGTCGTTGTCTCCGCTCAAGTGGCTCTCAAGTGTTTCTTACATGTTTAGTGTTGTAAATACTACTACAACTCGCCACTAATTTGGGCTTTTCCTTCCCCCACTTATCTCCACAGTCTCCAAGACGTCGCGGCCACGCACTAGTGTTGTTGGTAAAGATTCGCTACTTGGAACAAAGTTCCAAGTAGCACGGGCTATGGTGAGCCCGTACTAGTGGGCGGCGAAGGTAAATCCAGGTGACACTGTGTCGCACATGTCCGCACTTCCCAACACGTGGTGCTGGTGGCTTTATACTTTACAAAGTCCAAACAAAACAAAACACACACCCACATATTGTCACGTAAATTAGATAATTGAGCAGCTCGACTACCGCTCTCTAGAACCACCTTTCAATCAACAGATGTGACAGTTCCCAACAGACACACGCACACCGTTAATTTGCTCCGTTAATTAAACGGAAGTACATAATGCGGTGGCGCCTGCTGGTGTAGAGGCTTCTTTGCTGGTTCCAAATATTATATATATATATATATATATATATATATATATATATATATATATATATATATATATATATATATATATATATATAATATATATATATATATATATATATATATATATATATATATATATATATATATATATATATATATATATATATATATATATATATATATATATATATATATATATATATATATATATATATATATATATATATATATATATATATATATATATATATATATATATATATATATATATTGTGGTATTTATGTATATATATATGGACTTTAAATTGTATATTATTTGATAAAGAGAAAACAAATATACGCAAGTTCGTGGGATTTGTTTTGGCAAAAGTTTGGCCACCAAAAGTGCAGGTGTTGATGTTGCAACCAGAGTGTAGGTCTTGCAGTAACCAGAGTGCAGATTTTGCAACAATCACCGTAATTGAAGTGGCGCTAATAAGATAATAATTGATAATTAATTATAATTGTTGTTATTATTTGTTGACAATTGAACTCCTTCACGACATCCGACATTCCCTCCCCCCCACAATCTGCTCCACCCCACACTCTCCCCTTCTCCCCCCCCCCTCACCCTTACCCAAGTCTCCCCTGCTCCCCCTCCCCTACCACACTCTCCCCTTCTCCCCCTCCCCTACCACACTCGTCCCTGCTCCCTGCACCCCTACCACACTTTCCCCTGCTCCCCCTCCCCTACCACACTCTGCACTCTTGGCTTCCACTCTTCATTCCCTGTTGTTTAGTCTGCCCAGTAATAAACTGGTAGTAATAGTCTGCCCCTGCTAGTAGACCTACATCGGTGCAACCCGTTCTCGCACTTGCTTATAGTCAATATTTGGCTTATTAGTAAGTGCATATGTGACATACTGATTTATTGTGAATATTTGAGTTTACCTTGAAAAGTTGAATAGAAAACACCGACCTAACCTAACCTTCTTAGTATGTTAAGATAAGTATCTTATTGTTTCTTAATTACAGTTAGTACTTAACTTATACCTATATTGATATAACAGTTTTATAAAAATAATATAACAAAACTAAAATATTTAAATAAATTGTAAAGTAATCCAGGATATTGTCAAATTTTGTATAAAATCTCTATTGTTTAATAAAACTTAAAAAGAAATTCCTAATAATAAAACTGGTGTATAGCAAATCAATATAAAGAGTTTATACCTTGCAAACAAAATATAACTTTGAATATATCACGTAAGTACTTATTAATAAGCCAAATATTGACTATAAACAATAAGTTATATACGTACCGTCTTGTGCGAGAGCGGGTTGCAACGTGAGGCGGTCAGACAGACGTTATCTTGTTATCAGCCAATTTTACTCCATTTTTCTGTAGGAATCTGGCTGTTTTCCCTAGACTCTTAACATTTAGGTCAAACGGGATATGATCAACTATTATCGGCTGGACAGGTCGGACATAACCGTCTAGGCGTACTAGTGGTTGGACTACTTTATATTCTTGGGGTCCTCTATTTATCATGAACCCTGACAGGTTTAATTTAACCTGTGTTACTGGTTTAAGCTTAAGTGCATCTGCCGCTTTCTGTGTGATAAAGGTTTTCTGGGACTCTTGATCAAATAAGCCACGAATGGCGATCTTGGCCCCTTTATTCTTGACTAGTTGGATAGTGGACACTGTTGCATTAACTTGAGATGCTGGTGATCGTACGCTGTAATTTTCTCGCACCTTGCAGCACTGTACTTGGGTGGAATTTGTGTCTCTCACCCTGGGATTTGAAAATTTTGATTTAGCATACTTGCACAGTGCAGCATGATGCTGGCCCCTTCGACATCTATTACATGTGTTCAGTGGGGTCTCACAGCTTTTTGCATTATGCGATTTGAGACACCTAGTGCATCTGTGTAACAACTGCTTGAGTCGCCTGACTCGGGGTGTCTCGGTTAGGATAACTTGTGCGGTGATATAAAGAATGATCTTGATGGCAAAACAGACTTACCTCTCTCCCCAGCCCACAGCATGTTTAAGGGTCACCAGTTTAGGTGAAACAGTAACTACAGGTTTTGAGAGATTTGCCGCTTGCATGTTCTTACTGCCCTGTTGCTTCCACTTTGGTGTGGAAGTGTTTGGTTTATGTATCTTGGAAATACTTACTGTACTCTTAGATCTCACTGATAAATCAGTGTTTGACCTGTTAGTATTAGACTGATTGTTAGTACCCGTATTACCTAAAGACCTGTATCATCTGAGGAGGTTCAGTTAAAGAATTCGACCTATCTTCGTAAGAATACCTACGTGAATCACACGTGAGCATCTTCTTAGTGTGTACTTATGAATCTTCGTAGCACACCTACTTACGAAGAAATACATGGAACTTCGTGAATCTGGGTCCAGGTGTTCAGCAACTCACGCCGCGTGGCGCAGCGCCCCCTTTTCATCAGCTGATAGTTACGGCACTATTTTTCGGTGCAAATTCATGAGTGAAAGGTAGTAAAGGCTAATTTATATGCGAATTTATACTTTTCGATTACTATCAACATTGTTTAAACTCTATCTAAGATAACAATCACAAATGAAAGCAGATTGGAGACGAAGTTTCCATTAAGTACTAGGCAAAAGAATAGTCACCGCGTACATGTGGTGGCTGACACAATCATCCCTCGCATGTCCTAGAACTTCTGTTAGTATGGTTAGTTAGATTAATACCGTGACACAACGTATCTTATCTTACTGTGTCAAGGAGTAGTATTTGGAGTGTCGGAAATTTCAGACACCCCAAACACACTCTCCCCTGCTTTGTTAACTCTGTTGGCAATATTACAAATAACTGTTTAATACGATCATTACGGTAAAATTGTGTACATAATATATAATATAACCCCGTCCTTCAAAAGTCTCCCAATATTAAGAAACTGTCGTACTAAAGTGCCCTTATCCTAACCTACCAGAGGACCCAAAACAGAGAACGGGACAATATTTCAGTTTCGCGAACCGCTGCCACATTCTAGTACGATGATTTTCAGACTTAGGTAGAGTATACGTCAATATACGACGTTCTATTGGGAGGACGAGTTGAATATAATTAGTGGAAATGTTTCCGTGTGGGCGGGTCAGGGGGGGGGGAAGGGCGGGGAGCGGGCCGGAGCCGCCCTGGTGAGGGACTTGGGGACTATCCGTCTGGCACTCTCCTTCTTGTCGCTCTCACTCGTACTCTTACTAATTACACTCACAGCAACGCCCCCAGCAACACTCACAGCAACACACAGCAACGCCCCCAGCAACACTCAGCAACACACAGCAACACACAGCAACACACAGCAACGCCCCCAGCAACACTCACAGCAACGCCCCCAGCAACACTCACAGCAACGCCCCCAGCAACACTCACAGCAACGCCCCCAGCAACACTCACAGCAACACTCACAGGAACACTTGCAACAATAAACAATCCTCTCACTTCCTCCCCGGATCGTTACCTTCCACAGAGGTCGTCTTAAACCACCAGCCGTGACCAGGGAGGAAGATAACACTGAGTCTATTACATAACGACAAGATGAACAGTTTCCAAGATGCTTTTCACATAAATTGACCTCTTGACCCTGAACTCTGACACACTTTCTCCTTAAACTGAATCAAAGCGCGTCCTTACCCGATCCACCTGTTACATTACGGCAGGAGCACCACAGCTGTTTTGTTGGGAGGTTTCTTTGGTGTTGGGCTCAAGACGTGTCACGCTCGTGTCACGCTCGTGTCACGCTTGCGACTCGTCCAACATGTCTACGCGTCCAATGCACCGCAATTCAGCTTGTCCTCACTAACAAAGGTCAAATGTTCATTAATCCGGCCGCTAAAACACAACCCTTCCGATTCTCGATCGAATCGAAAAGGACTCGATTCAAGTCCATTACATCCAGCGGTCGACCCCACAGACGCATTGATAATTTTTTACATGCTGTTCATCGAAAACGTGAATTAATATTATAATATATTAAAATATTGTGCATATATAGGCATAGGTGAGGTTAGGTTAGGGGTTTAGGTCCTGTTGGCGATTATTGGTATTTGTAGTACGTGGGTGAAGCATTTACAGCGTTGTGGTTCGAACAAAATTCGTCAGCGAAGCTCTTGTTCCGGAACTGTTCGAACGAAATCAGTTGTGAGTCGTGTGTAAACCATTTTTCATTCATAAACAGGGGGTTTGGCGGGTGCATGGAATGGACTTTGGCATTTGTTTATGAGGACGGGCTGTCGGCCGCAGCTGTAACGAGCCCGGGCTGAGTATGCGATATTTCATTCGCAAACATTCGGGATGGTTTGGCGCAGCCCGTCCTCCAAACAAAGACCCAAAAGTGATTCCATGTACCCACCAAACCCCCTGTTTATGAATGAAAAATGGTTTACACACGACTCACAACTGATTTTGTTCGAACACTTCCGGAACAAGTGCTTCACTGACGAATTTTGTTCGAACCACAACGCTGTAAATGCTTCACCCACGTACTACAAATACAAATAATCGCCAACAGAACCTAAACCCCTAACCTTACCTGATGTAATGTACTTGAGTCGAGGACGGGTTGTTGGATGATAAGCTGCAGGTTGGACGCAAGTCTGAGGATGAATTGAGAGAGAAAGGTTCGGTGGATTACCAACCATTAAGTATTCTTTAGTTCTGATTAAACTTTAAGATAAAGTAAACTCGTAGCGTATACACTGAGAGATTAGGGGTAACTGTAGGAGTATAGCAGTTAGCTATTTGTTAGTAATGATAATAGTGAACAATCCATTATTTCTCTCAGTTGAAAAGTATTTATGGTACTCTATATAACAAGAATCCATTTAATTACTTAATCTCTACATTCTTGCTCTCGGGATTGTAACAATGCTTTCGTCATGTTCCAGTATTTGCCGCTCTTAGGCTGTCTGCCTGATCAACTCACTATGCAACAATGGCGTTGTCTGCTTGCATCTACTTACAATGCATGTTGCACGCAGTAGCCTCATCTGTTTAATATTCACGCCGCGGGGAATTCTCCACAGCATCTGGCATCAGCTCCGGAGGAAGGTTCTCCAGGGAAGCCAGGTGGGGTTGGGTCTTAAGACTGGCTTTGTTGTGGCACTGTGCCAGCGCTCAAGTGCCTTGTTGCTAGTGTCTGCTTCAAGCTCTTGCTTCATCAGCTGCCTCACGCGACTGTCTTTCGTGTTGTGTATAACACTCGTCTTGTACATGTTCTGGAGTGTATACAATCACACGCCAGCTCGTTCTCGCCAAGAAACTGGAATATTAAGGTGCCCTTATCCCCACCTACCAGAGGAGCCACGGATAGAAAACGGGACATTATGTCAATTTCGCGAGCCGCGACCATTTTCTTGTACGACAGTTTTTGGGTTTAGGAAGAGTATATGTCAAAATGCGACATGCTGTTAGGAGGATGAGTTGCACTCACACACACACACACCCCCCGGCTAGAAAGGCGGAGTTCAAGAGCTAGAGCTCGATACTGCACAAATACGTGAGTACGCACACACACGCACACACCTAAGAGAGTAACACCTAAAAGTTAGGTTAGAGAGAAATATATGTAGTAGATATAATAGAGGAAAACTAGATTGGTTAGAAAGGCAGGGTCCAAGAGCTAATAGCTCGTTTCTGCACACACACACACCAGTGTTGGTACTGATGAGTACCCAAATGAACCACAGGGACGTTAGAAAGAACTTTTTGTGTCAGAGTTTTTAACAAATGGAATGCATTAGGCAGTGATGTGGTGGAGGCTGACTCCATACACAGTTTCAAATGTAGATATGATAGAGCCCAGTAGGCTCAGGAATCTGTACACCTGTTGATTGACAGTTGAGAGGCGGGACCAAAGACCCAGAGTTCAACCCCCGCAAGCACGGGGGAAGCAAACAAGCAAGCACGCAAGCAAGAGAAATGTTGAATAAAAACACTTGTATAATAGACAAAACCCAAGATGTACGAAGATTACAAATTCTTGAAGCACTCCACATAAAAGCAGAACAACTTACCATAAATACTCAAATTACGGAACTCTTCACTCTACCCAGCATGAGAGTAAGAACAAGACCAGAACGTCAAGATACCAACATAGAAGACACTGCTCGACAAACAGCGCCCACTATGCTTGATTAATCTTTGTGTGTACCCTATTTGTCCTTATCTTCTTTTCTCCTTCATGTCTACCCAATGTATACACCCTTTGTTTACACCTGACCCCACTGTTCGATCCATTTGTATTCACCTGACCCGCTATTAGTATTGAATATAATGTTCTGTACTGTAACATCACTTGAGAATGAACCATGTAGGTTCGAAACGTCGTGTGATTTTATAAGAAGTGTAACACATTCTTCAGTTATTCAGTTCGTTTTCTTCGCCTTGAAAACAACATGACTTTTGGTGAACTAATCTTCCAGCTGAACCCCTGATGGAAGAGCATTAGTAAGAGGGATAGAAGCCCTAAATCAGAAAATAGTAAATATGAAATATGCTGTCATATTCAATGAGACATGCATTAAAGAAAACCTGCTTCCAGTATACACCAATATATATATATATATATATATATATATATATATATATATATATATATATATGTCGTACCTAGTAGCCAGAACGCACTTCTCGGCCTACTATGCAAGGCCCGATTTGCCTAATAAGCCAAGTTTTCCTGAATTAATATATTTTCTCTAATTTTTTTCTTATGAAATGATAAAGCTACCCATTTCATTATGTATAAGGTCAATTTTTTTATATTGGAGTTAAAATTAACGCAGATATATGACCGAACCTAACCATCCCTACCTAACCTAACCTAACCTATCTTTATAGGTTAGGTTAGGTTAGGTAGTTGAAAAAGTTAGGTTAGGTTAGGTTAGGTAGGTTAGGTAGTCGAAAAACAATTAATTCCTGAAAACTTGGCTTATTAGGCAAATTGGGCCTTGCGTAGTAGGCTGAGAAGTGCGTTCTGGCTACTAGGTACGACATATATATATATATATATATATGTCGTACCTAGTAACCAGAACTCACTTCTCAGCCTACTATGCAAGGCCCGATTTGCCTAATAAGTCAAGTTTTCATGAATTAATTGTTTTTCGACTACCTAACCTACCTAACCTAACCTAACTTTTTCGGCTACCTAACTTAACCTAACCAATAAAGATAGGTTAGGTTAGGTTAGGTAGGGTTGGTTAGGTTCGGTCATATATCTACGTTAATTTTAACTCCAGTAAAAAAAAATTGACCTCATACATAATGAAATGGGTAGCTTTATCATTTCATAAGAAAAAAAATAGAGAAAATATATTAATTCAGGAAAACTTGGCTTGTTAGGCAAATCGGGCCTTGCATAGTAGGCTGAGAAGTGCGTTCTGGCTACTAGGTACGACATATATATATATATATATATATATATATATATATATATATATATATATATATATATATATATATATATATATATATATATATATATGCAATTCAATTGCAGGAAGCTGTTACAGAAATATTCATTCCAGCATCCAAGGTTACAGTGAATGGAATACTGATGTTGATAAGTTAAGCTCTGCTACAGCGTATCATCCTTTGCACGTCAGGTATCATTTGTTTATATCAGAGCAGCTTATTTACTGTAAATACCCACACTATAGTGTGTTACCTAAAACATGTGTTACAGATCTGTGTCATTTCCTCACTTTTCCTCAGCATGTGTCGACATGTGCAGGAAACCGCTTGGAAGGCCCTTCACCTTCGGAGCCTTCGTCGGGGGAGCCTCGGCCACTCCGGTCAGGTTTCTACCGGTCGTTATTCTATATCCTAAGGACCTAAGTTGACAGTTTGATGCACAGAATGACGAGGAGTGACGTCAGGGGCTGTGGGCTGAGTCAGTAGGGGAAACAAGAGGTGCTCGAGCTGGTCACCTTGGGGGATGCCTTATGGAGGTGGAGACGGAGTGCTGTAGTTCTGAGAAATTTATCCTCATATTCCCTTTCGTAACCGACGTGTATTGCACACTTGTGTGGGCCCACACAGGCATTCTGACGTTGAGCTTTTTATAGCATACATATTTTATACCATCAACTTGGTTGTTGAGTTAGATCATCACCAAGTACGGTACCCCCTTTAAGGTAACCTTTAACATATCAACAATTCTTCCCAAAACATCTCCGGTGGCATGATCGGCGTGGGTCGTCGGGGCAGCTCTTGGCGAGGCGAAGGAAAGTGGGAGTGTGCGGAGGCCAGTGAGACAGAGGGCAGGAGCGGGTCACGCCCTGGCGAGGCTTGCTTGGTGGCCGGAGCCGCACCGCTGTCACAGCGTCAAGAGCCGCCGCCACCGCCACAACTCGCACCACTTCTCCCGGCGATCCTTAGGTAAGACCAACCTCCTCCTGTCTCGCCCGGTGCAAGGGGGACCTACTATCCTCCTACGATTTGCGGCCAGCTATGAGCTATGGTTATTTACATTTTAGCGTATATTAATCAGCTTTTGATAGTGTTCTTTTATAGATAAATTCATTGGTATAATAAAGGGGGATACCTTATCTGAACTTGGTGTAGGCTAGCAGGGAGAGAGGCCGCCCCTGTGTGTCCTCACCGCCCATCACCACACGTCACAGTCGCTCCAAAATGATTGTATTAAAATATAGGTTACCAAGCCGACTTGTTCTAAGTCAAAAAAAACTGGAAATCTGTATATATTCATTGATTCTTGTAGTGGCACTGATATATTAAACTATTTATTAGGAGAGATAAATTTGTTATCGTACTGGGTATCACCTGTACCGTACTGGGTATCACCTGTATCGTACTGGGTATCACCTGTACCGTACTGGGTATCACCTGTATCGTACTGGGTATCACTTGTACCATTCTTATCTGCGAATTTATCAAACCGATGACTTTCGCTTTTTGCTGTTGATTTTGTAACCGGACCGGATTGGTGCACAAGGGGCGTATGCGGAGTGTGGGCGCTGGTGAGTGGGAGGACATAGACTGTTGAAGGATGCCAGCCCACACCCCCCTGGTGCACCTGCCCCTATTTACTCGCATTGTGCCCCTCACAGGTACCTTCGCGATACGAATAAGAACATGGATGTACCTTCACAGAGCGGGAATATCGCGGGAAGAGTGAATTCCATCAGTGGATTTATATACGAAAGTGGTACCTTAAAAAATAGTGGTGAACAGAGCCGCGGGAGAAACTTTGCCTTGATAACAGAGGGCGACGCCCATGACTTGATCTGGTCCGGCCTACGCGCCAACCGGCCTCCAAGCACTCCGGCCTCTGCACCATCTGGCCTCCCCTGCCCGCCTGGCTTCTGCCACGCTGACGGGGGTTAAACCTTCATCAGTGAAGAAGGTGGTAGAAGCTGATATGAGGCACTTAAGAGATTCACTTATGGAAAAAAAGACAGATTAATGCTTCACTGTGTTTCGAATGAGGCGTTTGTGCTCTCTCTCTCTCTTTCTCTCTCTCTCTCTCTCTCTCTCTCTCTCTCTCTCTCTCTCTCTCTCTCTCTCTCTCTCTCTCTCTCTCTCTCTCTCTCTCTCTCTCTCTCTCTCTCTCTCTCTCTCTCTCTCTCTCTCTCATCTAACTCACAAGATGTGACCATACCAGACGGATAAGTTGATTATGAGAACAAAGTGCTGTAAAAGGTATTGTGGGGAGAATCGGTGATGGGGTGGTATTAACAGCAGGGCGTGAAGAGGACTTAATGATCCTATTACAATCAGGAGCTACCGAGACGCAGAACATGTCGTAGTGCTAATTGGAAGTTGATAAATGGGCGGGAGGAAAGACTAGACACTCGAATTAGACTAACGGATGTTTTCTAATGGGACTTGTGCAACAATGGGAGCACTGATACAGGAGATATTTAATGGAAATGAATTTATATACAGGTAACATTTGGCAGCTATATTTAAGGGTTTCAGTAGTGTAATTGATCCACTAATGGGGTCCCTTACAGGTGGAAAATTGAGGCAGAATTAAGAACAATAGAAATTACAGAAGGCCCATTGTCCCATGCGAGGCCACTCCTGTTTATATCCAACCAAACTTGTTTATATATATATAGAAAACTGTCGTACTAAAGTAAGAAACTGTCGTACTAAAGTAAGAAACTGTCGTACTAAAGTAAGAAACTGTCGTACTAAAGTAAGAAACTGTCGTACTAAAGTAAGAAACTGTCGTACTAAAGTAAGAAACTGTCGTACTAAAGTAAGAAACTATCGTACTAAAGTAAGAAACTGTCGTACTAAAGTAAGAAACTGTCGTACTAAAGTAAGAAACTGTCGTACTAAAGTAAGAAACTGTCGTACTAAAGTAAGAAACTGTCGTACTAAAGTAAGAAACTGTCGTACTAAACTGCCCTTATCCTAACCTACCAGAGGACCCAAAATAGAAAACGGAACAAGTATGTCAGTTTCACGACCTGCTACCATTTTCTAGTACAATTTCTGGACTTTAGGTAGCGTATACGTCAAAATGCGATGTTCGGAGGAGGAGGAGGACCGAACGGGTTGGACGAAAAGGAGAGACGGGTTGCAACACTGGTGATGCACGGGCTCACCATAGCCCGTGCTACTTGGAACTTTGTTCCAGGTAGCGAATCTTTAACAACAACAACAACAACTGGTGATGCCGGCGAGAAGTGAAGATGCGAACTGTGGAAACGCATATAAATTAGTTTCCTTAAGAAATCATACAGTAGATTGGTACTTTTCATCTCGTTGAAATCTCCATAACCAACTCTCTTAAAAATATATTTTTTCCTTGGCGATTCCTCAACAAGCGATGATTGGTTAACTGGATCACCGGCTACCACTCCTCGCCCGCTCATTGGCTGTATTATGCAGTATCGCGTTTGCTGGTCTGTTATTGGCTAGCTTTGTGTTTACTCCTCTCTATCTAAAATGTCATAGCGTCACACAGGAATACTGCAGCTGTATTGTTCGTGCAGACTTTGACGTGCAGACGTGCAGACTTTGACGTGCAGACGTGCAGACTTTGACGTGCAGACTTTGACGTGCAGACGTGCAGACGTGCGCACATCTTAAGTTTTTGTCAGCTGTGCCCCCCTCCTGCCCCCCCCCCGTGCCCCTGCCCCCCCAACACCTCTTCTGTCTCTCCTGGTCTGGGATTGGTTCTCGTCGTCAGGTGGTCGCTCAGCCACGCGATTGGCTCTCGGTGGCACATGGAGGTTGCTGATTGGTTACTGTGGTTAGTGTAGGCCCAAAAAAAGGCATCTGATTGGTCGTCACATGTTAGCAGTGTTCACGGGAGACATCTCCCGTCACGCAGGGTGCAGTCGCACCTCCACAGATCTCCAGTATCAGCTCTTGATACTGGTAATGGCTCAAAAGGGCCACCACTTACGGGCTATTCATGCCCGTGCCACCTCTTGGGTGGCTTCATCTTCATCTTAACACATTCACAAAGGAGACATCTCCCGTCATGCAGGGTGCATTCGCACCTCCACAGATCTCCAGTATCAGCTCTTGATACTGGTAATGGCTCAAAAGGGCCACCACTTACGGGCTATTCATGCCCGTGCCACCTCTTGGGTGGCTTCATCTTCATCAATCAATCAATCATCTGATTGGGTCTTGCAGGCTTTGGCGCTCTATGATTGGACAGTATCTTTAAACTGATTCGCTTGGTAAGTGAATTAAAATTGTATTTGGAAAATTACCGGGAGTAGATTTTCTTCTGGTATGTATTTATATATTACTATTTGTCGTCTCACTTTGAAAAAATTATATAAATCATATTGTGAAATTATCATAATTATATGGTCAAGGTAGCGTCAATAGACAAGAACTGAAAAATAACACTAATTAGAAAGCTGATTATATACGAAAAAGATTAATGAATATCCCGGATGCCACTGTTCACCTAGCAGTAAATGGTACCTGGGAATTAGACAGCTGTTACGGGCTGCTTCCTGTGTGTGTGTGTGTACTCACCTAGTTGTGCTTGCGGGGGTTGAGCTCTGGTGTGTGTCTGTGGAGGGGGGGGGGGAATTGTTAGTAGTTAGTAACAGTAGATTGACAGTTGAGAGGCGGGCCGAAAGAGCAGAGCTCAACCCCCCGCAAGCACAACTAGGTGAGTACACACCTACACACAAGACGCAGATCTATCTCTTGTAGCGTGACAGTTATTAGCAGTAAATACTAACGTGGCTCCAAGTGTTATTGAACGCACAACATGACAGAGTTATTCAGTAATAAGTGTGTGACTCTGGATTATACAGATGTTCTACAACTGTTATACGACGCGCTACGAAACCATTTTTGACTTTATATTTCAAAAATTCTGTTTAGGCTTTGCTACGTAAGCAGATAATTCGCCTCTCGCTGAATATTACGGCCGAATCGCCTTAAAGTTTAATTGCATTTCGTATGACTACAATTTTCTAATATACACAATAGCTGAAGCAAAATCTTTTGTTTAAACTGTGTTAAATCTCGAAATGTTTCATGAATGAAAATGACTAACCTGAATTGACACACTGGACCTTTTCAGGAAAAAGTATATATATGAGTTGATTCATTCCACTTTTCACGACAAATGACAAATATTATACGACAATATTAGACGATGTTATTATGATGTAATATCACATATTAATAATTAATATTGTTTTGCAAACCACTACGAAAACTCGCATAATTTACCGAGCCTATCATTGCTTGTGATAGCCTCGCGGTGGAAACATGTTGCTGTGTTCAACTATGTGCTTTGTCATTACCCTGGGAGCTTGCAACTCCCCAATCATGGTGAGAGACGAAAGCCGCCCATGCAATATCGAGAGCCCCCAAAAAATAATAAGAAAAATCAGTCTTGCCAAACGTGTTTTTGCACGAGAATTGTGTCTTAGAGTGACTTGTTTATCAGCCTCAGCTCTTCTGAAGTAATGCAGTACTGGCGAGATGTCTCTAGAGTTGTCTAGTTTAACCTTGCATCACACCTAACATTACGGAGCAGTAACTCCCTGTCATGACCAATTGTTATGCAGTTACAAGTGCAATATTTCCACAGCGGACGTAACAATATGAAAGATCAGTGTTCAGGTGCCCAAGACACACACATGGTCTAGCCATCTTGGGAGAGCAAATTAAGCTGTATTTGTTTTACAACAAGAAGTCGTGGACATATTAGTATTGCTGTCTCCCGGTGAACCACATCTTGGTCACCTCTTTTAACAGAGATGCAAGAGAAATTTGGTCGGTGTTGACACAAGGCGGCAGAGCATTGCAGGAGTCCTGTATAAACAATGCCTTATGGGATTGAAATACTAAATTTTTATGCTGACTTTTAAAATCATATTTAAAAATGCAAGCGTTTGGATCCTTCGCTAGTTAATAAC